GCCACAGCGCCGCCCCGAACCGGGCCGCCCACACGCGGTTGTTCTGGTCCTGAACTTACCCGCATCGGTCGGTGAGGGCGGCTGCCGGCCTCACCCGATAGGGGGCGCTGGCTAGCTCGCCCGGTCCTGGGCGCTGCCTAGTTCGGCCGGTGGAGGGCGCTGCCCGCCCGAGCGTGCGGACCTCTGTGGGTGGTAGGGAGTCCCAACCTGCCGGGGCCCCGCCTACCCCAACCGGCCGGGGCCCCGCCCACACTGAGTTTTCTCCAGTCTCAAACCCTACGGTACCCTCGTGTGTTTCTCCTCCGGTGGCCTTGTTCTGCTCCTGGCTTCGGCGCCCCAGCCCAGCCACCTCCCGGACCTCAACGTTGCAGCGAAGAAGACTCATCGGCCGTGGCCTCACCCGGGTGGCCGAGGACACCGGGCGGGGCTGCGAACCCGGTCGCCGGGCCTTCCAGCCCAGCCTGACCGCAAACCTAGGGCGACGCTGCAAATAGTCGCGGTTTCCAGCTGGTGCCCTGCCTCCCTCTCTGCCTTCCGGACCTTTGGGGTTTCCTCTCTCTTCTCTCCGCCCTCTCATCTGCCCGATGCCTCCCGCCTCGTCCACACAGTGTGCCCACCACATCCTGCTCCAGGCATGGTGGTTCCTTCGCCAGCGAGGTGGGGAGCCTCAAGACCAGTGCTGAGGCCCGGGCTTCCTCTGTGCCTGCGAGCACTTTACCCACTCATTCATGATCTACTTGCCCCACCCTAGAAGGTTTGCCGACCCCATCCAAAAGATGGGGAGATTGAGGCTCAGAAACTCACCACGGGCTAAGGTCAATCTGTCTGTGCTTGCAGTGAGAAGGCCACCTCCCACATCCAGAGACCTGTGCTGGGATTTCCAGGCCATCCTGCAAGCCCTAATGACTCTGGAATCCAGGGTTCTCCTTTAGATCATGCCTGACCTGCCTGCTTCCACATCTGTAAAAGGAAGAGGGGCAAAGTGGAACCTGTGAGGAAAAATTTGTTAAGGAAGATGATGGAAAGCCCAAAACCAGAGGGTGGAGATATTGGGAGTCTTGCCCATGGGAATGCTGATAAGTGACGGGGTCAGGCACAGTGTCTTCATCATCTTCCCGTCCAGTCTCAATTATAGTTAGCCAGGCATGGTGGCATACGCCTTTGGTCGCAGCACTCGGGAGGCAGAGGCAGGTTTCAAGACCAGCCAGTCTGCAGAGAGAGTTCGAGGTCAGCCAGGGCTACAGAGAAATTCTTATCTCAAAGAAAGGTAACAATAACAGTAGTGAACGGACATTAAATATTTACCATTCTGCATTGTGCTGATTGCTTCACATGTCTTATCTCCTTTATCCTCAGCCTAGTGTTACCCAGGAGGGTCCTAAGGTTTAGATGGGTTACATAATAGCCAGAGGTCACAAAGCTCTTCAACAAAGATGCTACAAGTGGATCCGGTTCTCTGACCACAGGCAGGCCCCTTGTTCTAGACTGAGAGATAACAGACAGATGGAAGGAAGGAAGGAAGGAAGGATGGTTGGATGGATGGACGGACGGACGGACGGACGGACGGACAGACGGATGGATGGATGGATGGCCGACCAAGCAGAGAGAGGAGCTTAACAGAGAGGGACTGAGTATATTCAGAAGCTTGGAGTTTGTGGGAAGAAAGGTGACAGGGAGGCACACGGGCTACAAGCAGAGGGGACAGGCATGGTGCAGTGTTCGAAGGTCATTTTGGCAATAGTGGGAAACCACTGAGGGTCATTAGCTGACCCTAACATTTGACATTTGGTGTCAGAGGCCATTTTCTGGCAAATCTCAGTTCCCACTTGCAAGAAGCCTTGCTTCTTTAACGTCTGGCACCTCCCAGGGCAAGCAGAGTGTTCTGGGCACACATGGGGGCTGTGGGTGGGGAGAGTGCAGAGGGAGAAGAGATGGGGTGGAAGTGGTTGATGGCAGTAACATCCTGGCACCGTCCTGCTCTCTCTTTCCATTCCCAACAATAGAGATACGCCCCTGGGCCCCTGGGGCTTGTCCCTGACAAACTGTAATCTCCAGGCCCCACATACTGTGCCATTGTGCACCTGTCGCAGGAGGGAACTCAGCCAACGGTAAGGCTGGTATTGCATCAGTGTTAAGCCTGGGGATCAAATGTTGGGGGTGGCTATGGGGAGGGCTAGGATCTTGATGGTGTTGGCTCAATCAGCCAGGGAGAGAGGCTGTTAGTGAAGTGGCCCAAAGATGGGATTAGTCACAGGAAGGAAGCAGAGGAGCTGGAAGGCCTGGAGAACAAGGGAAGTTTTCCCACCCACACTGGAGTGGCCCAGTGGGGATTGCTGAAGGAGGAGGCATCAAGCTGAGAGGGGCTCCTGGACTCCCTGGACCGAGCGGCGCTGGCTCACCATGCTGCCCCTTGTTGCCCTGTTTCTCCTGATTGGGCAGTCAATGTGTGCTACAACAGGGGACAGAGAGGATCTGACACTCAGCACAGAAGCAGAGTCCTGGATGACCGTGAACCTGAAGGTACCCAGGGTGGAGGGCTGGGAGATCCCCTCTGAGGCTGCCAGAATAGCTGAGTGTACCCCGAACCCTGATTGGTAGGCTAGTCAACTTCCCTGAATGGAGAAGGTCAAGGCCATGAGCCCTGATCTGTCCAACCATCAGAGACACATTCAGCTTGGACATGTGGCAGCAATAATGTGTGCCGTGTGTACAGAAACATGTAGTTAACACCTGCTCTCTTCCTCATACTGTCCTGACTGTCTGTATCATAGACGGTAACGTGTTTCAACTTCATGAGGAGGCTACCATTGTTATTCCCATTTCACAGATGAGAAAACTGAGGTACAGAGGGCAAAGAGCTTGTCTAAGATGCACTGCTTCAAAAGTAGAAATTCCACCTTAGCTAGGTGCTGACTATATCTAAGCATCAGAGAATTTCTTCTCACGGCACCAACTGAAGCAGGATCGCTAGTTGGTCTCACACAACGGAACACTTTAGTACCCTGACAAGCACTGGCGTTTGACTATGGTGGTGTCTACCAAACTGGTAAGTACTGCCACTGGAAAGAAATCTAAAAGTTGGAGTCCCAGCCTACTCCGAGATCCAATACCTCCGACCTAGGTGAGGACCCTGTCCTTGGAACTCCCAATCCCTGACCAAGGAACCAGGAGGGTAACTGGGGTCTGTCCCCCAGCAGTCCCAGGGTGGATAGGACACTCAGCTGAAGTTGGTTTATGCTGCTAGGCCATGTGAGGTCCCTGGACACTATTAGAATTGGGGGTTAAGGATGTGGCTCAGTTGGTAAAGGGCTTGTTTAATATACATGAAGCCGTGGGTTCAATCCCCTCGAGGCAGGAGGATCAGAAGTTCAGGGGTTCAATCCCCTCGAGGCAGGGGGATCAGAAGTTCAGGGGTTCAATCCCCTCGAGGCAGGGGGATCAGAAGTTCAGGGGTTCAATCCCCTCGAGGCAGGAGGATCAGA